TGGTTGTGGCCCCCATATCCCCCACGAGGACTCCTTTGCAAGATCCTGTGACAGGTATACCTTCTGCAGTGAGAGCAAGCCAGCTTCTGTGCAACACACCATTTGTGTTTTCCACTGAGATATGAAATAAAAGCACACAAGCAGTGACAGGCAGCAGTGGCAGCACCAGCCTGTCCTGCTCACAGCTTGTTATGCCCCTTGTCCCTGTGTTCAGATCTGAGCCTGTTGTGCTATTGTGCTCACCTCCACCAGCTTTACCTGACTACTCACTTAGCTCCTAAGTCTTTTCGGTTTCAGTCCTCCTTTGATCCCAGCTGTGCCATGAGAGCCAATGAAAGAGTTTCTGCCTCACTGATGGCCTGTATCTATTATGAAGCTCTGTATCTATGGCTACTCACACCTGTATATCTCCTTTTTCACTTTCCTCCCCGAGCCTTTAAAAAAGCCTTCAGAGCACTTAATTGTACATATTCAGGCAGGGAGCAACATAAAATTAAGCAGGGAAACCAAGTCACACCAAAGAGTCATAAAAAAATTCCTGTAGTCTTCCCTCAAGTCATCACAACAGCAACTTCCTCAGCAGAAGCTGAGAAAACTTTGCTTAAAGGTTGCACTGGGATGTTTGTGGAACGGCACATTGTGCCATCCCCCCATGCTTTATGCTGAATCGTTATTTTGCCTTTGAGATGGCAGCATCTGTTAGTGAAGTTCAATACAGCACAGGTATTTTTGCCTCATCTGGACAGATGTCTATCACACACAGGCATGTCTGGAATGGAAAAACTTGTGAAAACATGGCTTGTATTTCTGTAGTCAGGTCCCTGAGGTTTTGTGTCCCTCCCATGTGTTGTCTCTGGTCTCTAGAGTCTGGGAGTTTTTCATGGTTTCATGAAACAGTTCTTCTGATGTAGTTCTTGATAGCATTTAACGCAGCTCATTTTTCCACATTGATTTTTAGACAGGTGTTTACTACCCAAGAGCTTTTTGTTCAAAACAGAAAGTTTAAGGGCAGCCACTACTCTAACACAAGCAGCTGCAAAAATGTCCTCACCACTTTTTTTTTTTTTTTTTTTTTCTCAAAAGCCCTTTTAATTCTCTGAGGCAACAAGCAGTTCACAATCAACCATCCATAGTCTCCAGAACACTAATACTGCAAATGTGATCAGTACCATTCTCCCGAGGTACTCAGTGCTGGTCCCTGTCCCTGAGGGCATCACTATTGGCACGGGGAGGCCTGGCTGGAAGGCAGGACAGCCAAGCTTTTTAATACCATATTTTACTTTTGTGACCCCCACCTGCTCCATCTCATGTCCTTGGCAGCAAACCTTAACATCAGTGCCCCAGAGGGAGGAGACACTGAGTGAAATACCCTTGCAGAAATCTGTGGATAAAAATCCTCCTATTTCCATCCTAAGTACTGATGTTATTAACAGCAATTCACAATCCTAAAATTTGCAGCATAAACTAGCTCACCAAGCAATGAGAAGAGAGTAGCAATTAACTTAATGAAAGCCCTGGGAAGCAGTCAGATAAGTTGCAAAGATTGCTGCCTTCAACCCAGTGCAGTCTTCCGGAAGCAGCCTGGAGAAAAAGCTCCATATCCATTACCAATTCTGTTCAACACACAAACCCCAGAAATACTGATAAGAATCCATGAATAATTAAGTTTAACCTGATGTTAGCAGAAAGCTAAACTGGACTGGGGATGTTAGACTCTTCATTAGTTCACTGGCAGGAAACAGCCCTGGTCAAATTCTTTCTGTAAGCAATTCCTTGGAAGCTAATAGAGCTATCTCAGCAAACACTTTTCTTCTTCTGAGTCTCAGGGTTAGCCAATCTGCTACATTCTTCCAAGGCACAAAATTAAAAAATAGAACAGCTTGGGTTTTTTTGTGAGTTGCTCGTGCTAATATTTGTTTGTTGCATCACTGCATGCAAAACATTTTCTGCCCACCGTGGGGAGGCACAGGCTTCCAGGGTCTGAGAGGCTGGGCTGCTTCATCTAAAAGCTCCCTCCCTGTGATTCCACACTGCCCTTTATGTGGATTTTCCTCCTCCTTTCCCCAGTTCTCCTTATACCAAAGGTCTCTGCTGCCCTACTCTTCCCTCTCCAGGAACTGTACATTCCTTAGTCCTGCTTCCCTCAAGGGTCCTCTTCTTACTCCCCATGGCAAGGGCTGTGTGCATCTGCTAAACAGATGGCAGCTGTGCCATGTGCCCCTCATCTACAGGGGTTTGATTTCCCTTCCCTTTTATGCCCACTGATGCCCAAAACAATTCTGGACAGACCGAATTAATCAGAATTAATCACAGAGGATGATTAGGTACTCCAATAGCCAACATTTTGAGCCAAGCTGATCATCAGCCACAGTGAAATAGCCTGAAACAAAGTGATAGCAGAGAAAGATGGTTCAGGGAATGACAAGCTGAGAACTGTTTAGGAAAAGAAAAGCTGTATTACGTAAAGGCTGCCACGGGTCAGCTGCTGTTCAACATACTGTGCATTTACCATCACATGCAACGAGACTGGTGTTTAGGTCAATACAAGCTATGGTTGTGGATTGCTATGGCTATGGATGGCCAGTGGATTTAGGTTGCGTCCCTGATGAAACAAAGTAACAGGCTCTAAAGACAGAATTGTCTGTCCATATGGGCACCCTTAAGTAAACATCCTAAAACCTCCAGTTCTCTCATCACAGAAGCTGCTTTTGGTGAAGAATGCTATTTGGTGAAGAAATTTTTCCTAATGTCTAATTCAAACCTCCCCTGGCACAACTTGAGGCCATTTCCAACCCTGTCACTTGTTACCTGGGAGAACAGCCCAACCCCCCACCCCACTGTCAGGGAATTGTAGAGTGGTAAGGTCTGCCCTGAGCTTACTTTTCTCCAGACTAAACACTCCTAGCTCCCTCAGCTGCTCTTCATCAGACTTGTGCTCCAGACCCTTCACCATCTCAACTGTCCTTCTCTGGACCTTCTCCGGCACCTCAGTGTCTTTCCTGGAGTGAGGGACCCAAAACTGATCCCAGTACTTGAGGCGTGGCCTCACCAGCGCCGAGTACAAGGGGACAGTCACTGCCCTGGTCCAGCTGGCCACACTATTGCTGATACAGGCCAGGTGCCATTGGCTTTCTTGGCCGCCCGTGCACAGGTGACAACAGTGACTCTCATGTTTATCACCATTTCTAACAAGCCTTGATGTTACTTTGAACAACGAAGGAGTGCAAGGTTTTACAGGCTCCCTCCTTCCAAAACAGAGTGCACAAAGTGGAGGCTCTCAAAAGCACCATCACTGCAGAGCAAGGATGTACTACCTGAAAACTTGGTGGCTTCACATACCCATCATGAAGAAAGGCTTTCTCCTTCATTAATACAAATATCTCATGCAGAATAAAAAACATCAAATCTCTTTCTAATTAATGTATTTCCTCTCATGATTGTTTTTAGTCTACTTGCCAGAGCTACTAGGATTCACTCACAGCTTGTTCTTTCCTCCCACCAGTCTTTTGGTGAAGTCACACATGGGCTTTCTGCTTGTTGCAGGTTGGACTGAACCCAGGAGTTTTTTTCCAATATGCAGTTTTCCAGTCTCTTCTGTCAGCGACACCTGAGTGGCTTATGGGCTGACAGTCAGAGCAGGAGCACTCTGTTCTGCCTGCTTTTATGTCAATGGACTGATTTTTCAGCTTCAAAAGCTTAGACAGCACAAAAGTTCAAGCTCCTTCCCTCCTCCACCTCCAAGGTTCAGTTCAAGCATGCAGTGAAAAGGAAGATGAAAACAGGTAGCAGGTTAAGGCTTTTGTTCCCTTCCTGCTATGATGTGGGGGACAGGAGAGATCAGCTCTCTGGCTGATCCAGTTGTGAGGGAATGCTCACCTTCAGCTCATACGGAGCTGGAGATTTTTTAATGCCTCCACGGGTTGGACGTGTCTGAAGTGGCTCTGCCGCACTCAGCCATCTGAGAGCTGCCTGTTCCCCACCTCAGAGCAGCTGCGATGTGGCCCCTAGGTCAGGAGGGCAGTTTGCCTGCAGATGTGCCAGTCTGCACACAAACTGCTGCATTAGCCTGGGTGCAGCTCTAAACTGCAGCTCACAGGAGAGCTGCTGAAGTGGATGAAGCCGCTGCTTCCTGGCATACACTTTGGTTTCTAAGAGGTTCCCCAGCAGAGGCGTTTCAACAAGCAGGAAGGAGAAGGTAGAGGGTTTGAGAGACTGATGTGAAGGACTGAGACAAGAGGTAATTGGGAGGCACAGTCAAGGGACAGTCAGGTTGGGAGCCCTTTGAGGGGAGGGCTGGGGCAAGGATGCCAACTTTAAACTTTTGTGAAATTCAGGTGCTGTTTATGATGGTAATATACTCATCTATACAACAAAGAATGATGTAATATCAGATTGTAAGATCAGGTGTTCCCTTTGCTGCACACTGAAGCAGAAGTTGGACTGACCTTAAGGAGAATTTGATAAATGGTGTCTGTAGTAGGCAGTATGAGGCTCACACCAGGCACTCCAGCTTTGGGCAGCAGAAATATTCACTCTTTCCCTTTACACCACTTGGCTCCCACACGAAATCCCCTCCAACTTCAGCATTCACACAAACCAGCATTAACACAAAAGGGTGGCACAGTCCAATAATCTGCACACACTGCAAGCGAAGCTTCTCACTAAACTAAGGCACAGTTAAGTTCGCTTTTCCTGAATCCTTGTCAGAAACAAAACAGCACGTGAGAAATGAAATTATTTGGATGTGTTCCTTCCTGTTTAATAAGCACTCATATAGAAGGGAACCAAAATGCTGGCTCAGGACTCCCGAGCATACCTTCTGGGCTTTTATTCCTAAAGCAATGGAGGCGTTTTCCTGGCATTGAGCAGACGGCTGAAATAAGCATCTTTCCTATATCAAGCTACGTGTGGAAGCTTAGAATCTATGTAAGGTACAAAAAAGCTACAAGCAGGAGGAATGAGGGGGTGGGGATGAAGGAAGAAGGAGGAGGAAAAGACAGGGGGTGGAGAGTAACACTGGAGAGCAGCAGTGGTCCAGCCCCTCAGAATCTGAAAAGCATCACAGGAGCCTCTGGATAAAGACCAGCCTCAGTAACAAGGCTAGGAGACAGAGGATTGCAGCTCAGTGATAAAACATGGTGAGTACGAATTTTGTGATCTCTCTTATTGTTAGCTCTGGTGCAATGGCATTTTCTTTGCTCTGACACTCACAGTCCCTCTGAGGGACCGTGATTTTGGGATGATTGCTTGTTTTTGAAGCATTGCTTTTTACTTCTTTTTCCATACGTTTGACAAGTGTGTGCCTGTATTTATATGAATGCACATCCTATGTCCCTTTAAAGCAATAAATTACAGAGGACAGCCAAAGCTGTCAGCATTAACACTTTGCTGTCTGGTACCAACAGGCTGCTGGCCAGGACAAGAAAAAATGCCCTGTTTCCTTCTCAGGTACCCAATGGAAATTTCTGCTCTGCTGCCTTCCCCAGCACTACAGTGATGATTCGACAGCTCTCTGTGCAGGAGTTGATGCTGCCCCTTTTCATGGCATAATTCAAGCAGTTACGGTTTTTTCAACCTCAGGTAGAGAAGAACACTGAATGAGGGGTGCAGAGGTTTTGTCAGAGAAGGAGCCTCCTTTTGTCATGGTCTCAGCCTCCTTCTGCTATGCTGTACACCCTGTGGGGCGGGGGGGGGAGCAGTTGGGTGCCCCAGATGGGACTGGGGGGAGCTGTGGGTGTTGCTGTGCCCCCCAGGGATCCCTCCTGCCAGCACACAGCAGGACAGGGTGCTGAGAGTAGAAACGTGGTTAATTTTACTATGAAAAATCCTGAGCTCCACGAAAACAGTTGTCAGGGCTTAAAGGAAGGTTCAGACTCCCCTATAGCACACTGCTAATAAGATTAAGCATTTAACGAGGCATCTTTCTAGTATTCTGCCAGGGGAGTGTGAGATTTTACTTTCTGTGCTCACTGGAACTAAGGCTGAAGAAAAAACCCATCAATACGCTTTTTGCTGGCTCTTCATGAGAAAGCCATTGCCTGACCTAAATGCACAAGCAAGGAATTAGGTATCCTGGGTCAACCAAGAGAGACAAATGGTTAAGGGGAGTGATAAGATCCAGGCACTAAGGATGAGGAAAGTGCTCCTCCTAAGGGGAGGCATGATCTCAATGCAGGTTTGTGTGTCACACAGCCGCCTTTAAAAATAAACATTCTGCTGGTTCCTGAATGATGACTGTCCCTGATTACATCCTCCATCCTTTCCACCCTCTTCTTTTTTGCTTTATAATGGAGATGAGATAGTAGCAGAGTAATCAGTTTAAGGGAGAAGATGAGCCCTGCTTTAAAATCCTCTTCGGTTTTAACCGGAAGAACAGTTACATTTATTTGCTTACTAGAAACAGCATTACAATAACTGCAGGGAGGGCATCACCACCCTCTAGCAAGAAAGCATTTTTCTGCTTTGCAATTAAAAATCAAATTAACAGAATGAAATATACGTTCACTATTATTAGCAAGTATTTCCATTATTAACTTTTATCTTCTGAGATAGAGAGTTAATGATTTTGACTGCAAATAAACAGTCTTATTCAAAAAATTCCCCCCCACACACACACTTTACTGGGAGCCCCAGCTGTTCTTTATGCATTGCTGATTAGATCCTAAGCATTAAAAATTAGTATTGCCCACTGACTTTGAAAGTAGCTGTGGCTTTCACCACCTCAAGCTTGATTGTTTTTACATTTTAGGACTTCCAACTGGTGCACAGCAAAAATCCTCCCTATGTTAACTGGGCTTAGGAGGGGGGAGCCTCTCTGAGTACTCCATTCTTTCTGCCTTTCCCATTACACAATTTCTCAAGAAATATTTTAAAAAACTTTTCATCTTAAAATGCATCCATTTTAAGCATAATTCATCTCCAAATGCCCAAACCAGATATATGTTTTCAGGAAATTGAATTATGCTACTGTTTCTGAGGGGAAAGGAGGGTAACATTTTCAAAGGTACCTTCTGATACTCAGCATCTTAAGTTTGATTGATATGAAACCACTTGTGGAAAAGGGATTTTGGACTCACTCCAAACTTGTATCCTAAAACATAAAAACAAATCCAAACAGGTGTTTTCCTTCTTTTCAAATTAAAAAGCCTAAAAGAGTATTCAAAGTTTATCAATTCTTTCATTTAATAAAAGGAACATGCTTGGAGGGAGGTGAAATTCAGATGCCAAAGGATCAGAATCCTGCTTAGCAAGAGACAGCAAGGCACCAACTCCACCACCAGCCAATGGTAGGCGTGATCTAAATGTAAAGAAAGAACATTCCTATCTCCCCTGCAAAAACACTGTATTCTGAATTTTACTTATTTCTATCTCCAAGAGAGACAGTCACATATAAATTGCACATCAAACACGCAAGTAAGAGTGTCTAAGCCAGACACCTGATAGGATTTTGGAATAAATGAACCTTAATTATATTTTTTGCTACTTAAGCCAAATTATTCTTGAGCCAAACCTGCTGAATCCAGGGAGTTCATCTAAATTTCCTCTTTGAAACACTACTATGTCTACCCCTGCAATCCCACTGAAGCAGATACTTCTACTTTCCCAGTAGGATGATCTTCCTAGAGTTACATGCAAAAGGACTGATATTCTACCCTTTTTTAGGAGATAACCTGAACAAAACTTGCCAACTAGTAAGATGTAAGATATCAATTTTGACACCAGCTCAAAACCCAAAGCAAGGCTTCCCCCATTCCAGCACAGAAGGCAACTGGTGAACAGCTGAGCCTGGCAGAAAGCTCTGGGGACCATGGACAGAGGCAAGTGGGACCCCTCTCTTCGACCCACGTGACAGAGGCAATATTTGGACAGTTTGAATCCTGCTTCCACCCATTTTCCTAAGGAATATCAGGTTCCATAGCAATTCTTTTAGACCCTTGCCTGTTGACCTGGACTTAGGTAGAATTTAGGCCATCTGAATATGGCTCTTATTAACCAGAACAGTTACCTAATTCAGTCTCGTTCAGGTCCTCATAACCCAGAACCTTAAACAATTGCTTTGACTGTCCTAAAACCAAGTTTCCTCAGCCCACAGGAATGTGTTCAGCTTCCCATTCTAAAACTTTAATTTACTTTCAGATGAATCACAGACACAGTAAAACCTTCAGAGTTTATGAAAAGGCTGTCACACACCCTGCACAGATGGTGTGTGTTTGAACATGAAGTATTTCTGCATTTTATGAGCAATATTATCCAAATTTGAAACAAAATCTTATCTCCATTATGATATAAACCCCAAATCCAGATCTAATTGCCTGCTTAGACACTTGTGAAATCCTGAAAGAGAGAAGCTGGTATGATCAAGTCAGAAAAAAGTACTGTTTACTATGGCTGGGAAGTCTCAGTGCTGCTGCACCTAACAGTGTTGTAAATGACAACTAAACTGTAGCCCAGCATAAGATTCAAGGATGTCCTCTATTTAAACACATGTATTTTGAACAAGTAATTTCACAGATATTAAAAAAAAGGTCAAGTAACATTAACAAAGAAAACATCCTGAGTCTGTTCAAAACAGGACAACGTAGCCTCAGTAGACTGACTGCTGGTTTCCACAGGTTTGTTTTTTTTTTTCACTGTGATTTTAATTGCAAATTATATTTCCCTTACAAAGGTGGAAATCAGTCCCTCATATATCCTTTATCCCTGTGGAAGAACAGATATACTGCAAGTTAAGTCCAAGAGAATAATTAAAAAGGGACAGACAGGCAGTAGTGTAGATGAGTGCAAGGGTCAAGAAATCCCAGGGAAAATGTACCGTTTTTTAAATGCCTACAATAATGTTTCATAGAATTTTGATTAGCTTTACATAAGCACTGGAGGGTAACTTTCTCTTAGAGCACTTTAATCTGTTTGTGACTTCACGGGTACAGCTTCTGGGTTTAGAGATACAACTTGTGTCCCTGCAAAGACAGAAAATAGATATCATGGTATAGTCCAGTACAACCAAAAGGGCTAAAATATAGATATATACATATATCTGTATCTAAAATACAGAAAGAGAGCATCATCACATAAATATTTGTGGTGTATTTGGGAAGAAGCTCATTGATAATTCATGTCATATGAGGATGAAGAGGAACTCATAGTATGGGAAGTTGCAAATGTTTTTAAAAATCTGCAGATTCTGGTAGTCTTTCCTGAAGAGCCCTCAAAGAACTGACTAAGGGGGGGTCTTCCTTTTCTTGGTGTTCATTTCTGATAACATTTTAATGTGGAAGATTCCCAAAGAGGCAACAGTCTTAAAACAGAATAAGCAGGATGACACAATGAACTAGATACTAAGTCTGGCATGAATCCTGTGGGAATATTAGGAAAAAGAATATATGGGATCAAATAGAGACATGAAATAATCAGAGTACAAAGTTGGTGGCTATATATATAGTAGATATTAAAAAACCCAAACCAAATAATACCCCCCCAAAACCCAAATGACATCTAATATTTTTTCCCCTCATCTGAGGAAACTGAAAAGGTAGTACAGGCTACCATTGGTGTATCTGACATTATTATACTACATATATTCTCAGTACAGATGTTATTCAGGCCATTTGGGCTTTCATGTTAAAAGGGTTCATCTAATTTATAAAAAAAAAGACAGAGGAACAAGGCCTAAAGTTTCTAGACCCAGTTGTCAAACTGGTCATCCACTGTGTTTCTTATCAGGGAGATACAATTCAGATCAAACACTACTTTTTTACAAAGATTATCTAATGATATCCTGAATTCTTAACTTTACTACATGTCATACTTGACAATAAAGAAACTCACCTCTAAAAGCCTTTTTAATGCATCTATAGGTAAAGTTCCCAAGTAGACAATATCCTACAAAGGTGACCCTTGCTTAATCCTCAGAATGGGCAGAAACAGCTGCAGGACTTCAAGGAGTTCTGCATACCATTGTTATAGGGCTGGCATTTGCCAGGGCACAGGCCTCTAAGGAGCTTCTCAGCAGCATCAGGAGCTTCCCACAGGGACACAGTACCTGCTTCTACACTTGCAAAGGACTGAGATGTCAGACACTTCGTTTTGGGGATATTAATAACTGGTCTTGCATCAGCTGCTTCTGATTGTTTTCACGACTCTGCCCGAGTTCTGCACACTGAATTTCTTGTGGATCGCACCTTGCTTTGCAGAAGGAGTGTAATCCTGTCCCAGTGACCTATTTCTAAATATGCAAAACAAGTTTCCCGCAGCATCAGTGAACTCCAAATACCTGACAGTGTAGTAAAATGTTTACTGGCTTTCATTAAGAATGCTCTGCCACAGTCACATGTAGCCCCAAGCCCGAATAAATGTGCCAGCATCTCAATCAGACTGACAGACACCCATCTATCACCACCCACCATGTTTTCCAGAGCATGTCAAACATTCACACTCTGCCCTTACGTTTTCTGCCTTTTATCATTGACCTACATTTAGTTGTAAATATTGCTAATCACCTGCTAGTTTGCAGCTTGTGTGAGCAACGGGCTGTCACTGATCTGCCTGCTGGAGAAGAGCTGCGGGTGACAGCTCTCAGATACACAGATCTGCATCTTGGGAGGTGCTGGTCAGAGCGTGGCCATTCCCAGCAAGCCCTGGCAACTGGAAAGCCTCCGGAGGCTACAGAGAGCTGTTACAGTTCCAGCTTAAAGTCGTAATTCACGAGTACAAAGGCTTGGCTTGGTGCTGAATTTAAAATCTCCCATTCAGTGTCTCCAATTGTTTAGTTATGCCTAAACAATTGAAAAAAAGGTAAATCATTAACGGAGAAAGATCCAAGCATGTTTTTTCAAGAGCAGGGCTTGGAGTTACTGTCCTGTAACTTCCTATCCAGTAAAAACCTGTTTTTTCTAATAGCTTTTAGGAAGTGCTTGCTTCTTCCCTGACCTACCTTTATGTAACTCCATTGACTTACTCAATATTCAAGCTGATACAAAGCAGGAAAGGATCAGAAGTGTCTATGAAATAACTGTTGGAAAGCTGAAAGTAACACGGCTAAAATAATTAATGACTAAATAGATTTATGAAAATGTAAACCAGGTTCAATACTAAACCATATAGGCAGAGCCTGAAAGTGGCATTGATACAGGTGTAGAGTATTTTTAGAAATAGCTGATCAATGCACAGCGCAGATTCAATGTGCCAATGCCTCTGTGTGCTACACTGTTCTTTGTGAATTGGAGATGACACTTCTGTCATAATTAACAGTGATTTTTCAATATGGCACTTTTGACTTTTGACAGTAAGAGTAGTAATGCAGAAAATGTTCCATTATGTTCAGAAGGAAGTGAAGCAAACACAGAAATTCAGTTTGAGCTCGTTTCCAGGATAGTACCAAGGTTTCTGGATTTTTTAGTCACAGGTAAGGATTATTTTATTGTAAAACGAGCATCACGTGTCAAATGTTTGATCCATTTTCTCAGGAGATTTCCCACACTGGTCTCTCTGTCCTCCTCAAACACACAGATTTAGGAGATGCTGCCTCCCTGATGCACACACTTGCATGGTAAAGTTTCTCAGGCATTGTTTTTCACTGATGTCTCTCCTACTTTCAGAACAGGACCTGTATCTTATTAACAGCTATACTGAAGTCATAACCCTCAATCCAACCCCCTATATTCCTAACAGACAAACTATTCTCTGACCCTCAGCTACCAACCCACAATGTGCACTGTCTTCTCCTTGCTGGATCTTCCAGCCACCACAGCTTCACTCTATCTGTATCTCATGCAGTACCAGAACTCAGTGCTGGAAATGTCCAGTGCCAGACAAACCCAATTCCATAACACTTCATATCCCTCCCTTTGTTCTCCAGTTGGTTTCCAAATGTACAAGTGCTAGCCACCAACCTCACAGTGGTTGTGTTCTGCTGCTTTCTTTCCAGAAACAGATGTGAGGAAGCAGCATGGAGCTCAGGAGAGGAAAGACCTTCATAAAATCCAGTGTGCAACATGAGAAAGTGCCACCAGCGCATACAGCTCCTACCAGCAAAGATGAGACGGGCAAAGACAAAAAGGCAGCTCTGGAGGGAAACCAAAGTGTGGCCGAAGTCCAGCTGGCATGTTTGGCCACACACAAGAACTACAGATTTTCTACCAGAGCAACAAAGAATGGAGCTGGTGACCACAGCCTGGAAAAATCATCTGGGTCCTCCTACAAACTTGTAAGGAAGAGTAAAACCCATGAGTGTGTTGCTGAGGCAGACAAAGCAGAGCACTGCAGCCCCAACAGCAGGGCATGCGAGGAGGGGTTTTCCGGAAAGCCCAAGGGCCGACTTGTCAACAGCATCAGCTTTTCAGGGATGTCCAGCTCCAGCGGTAAGAAGGAGTGTGTGGTCAGCCCCAGCCAGTCTGCTTGCAGCAGTCAGATGATTGATTACAGGAACTTTGTGCCACAGATGCCTTTTGTACCAGCTGTCGCAAAAACCATTCCCAGGAAGAGGATTTCCCTCAAGAGATCTAAGAAAGGGCTCAGAGATATATTTCACATAAGAAAAAATAAGCCAGACAGCCTCACATTTCTGGTTGAGAAGGACAAGAACTTGTCCTCTCCAGGTTGCAAGAGTGAATTATCTGGGCGCCTTGCAAAGTATCTTTTCAAAACCGGAGAAACATTTGCAGCTGATTGTTTGTCACAGGACTGCTCAGACAGTGAACTGCAGTCTGACTCCTCCTACGACTGCTGCAATGCCCTGTGTGAAGATGTTGCCTCCCTAAAGAGCTTTGACTCCCTCACCGGCTGTGGGGAAATCTTTGCTGATGAGAGCTCTGCTCACCTGGAGCTGGAGAACAGCAGAGACCTTCTGCTGAGGCGAAGCAAGCACAAAGACAGCCCTGTCATGGGCTCTTTCCAAGGTGGGGTGGAGCAGCTGGCCTCTCCTGGCCAGAATGAGACTGTGGAATTTGCAAAGTTTTGGGACAACATCAACAAATCAGTAAGGCTACATCAGAGTGCTCTTTTTGAAAAGAAGCTGCTGAAGGTACCTGGTTCTGACACAGAAAAGGTTAAAAGTCAGGCTGCCATATCTGTGACAAGCCCCCAAGTGTCACCTGATAAAGAAGGAGACAATTCCAAAGACAGCTCCACAGAAACAGAAACACCGAAAAGTGAAAACCAGGAATCCACATCCACAAGTGATGAAGGCTACTATGATTCATTCTCTCCTGGACAAGATGATGAAATGAAGGAAGTTCAGACCCCTGGTGTCCCAGGTAGATTTCCAAGAGACAGCTACAGTGGAGATGCCCTTTATGAGCTCTTCTATGACCCAAATGAAGTCAAAATTAACCCAGTTCTTGACGATGACTTGTGCGCATCTGAAACTGTTTCCGAGCAAGCCATTGAGATCCCTCTGTCCATTTACAGCTTTCACGTAGGAGCTGAGGAGAACATGGCTTCCCAACCAACTCTAGACATTATCAGCCAGGGGTTTTTCCACAGCTCATGGAAAGGCAAGGAATGTTTGCTAAAGCTCTGTGATACTGAGCTCTCGTTGACTATGGGAATAATAAACTGGCTGCGAAAACACTCAGGACTTGTTTCCTCCCCTGACTCTCTTCAGAGTCCTCAATCACAGCCACAGAAGTCCAGTGATTCATCAATCCTGCCCAGTCCCAGTCCAGAGCAGGAACTGAGCACAGAAGCTCAGCAGGAAAAACCAAGCAAGGAAGATTCGAATGCATTTCCTATATGTCCGTCTTTGGATGAAAGCAAGTACACAACCCAGGCCTCTTCAGTAAACATTGCTGAAAGAGACCACAGCCTGGGCTCCTGCCCAAACACATCTAATCTGGATTTCCAAGGAAGAGAAGGCAGTCACCACGAGGATTTATCTACAGTGCCTGGGACTGTGGAAGGCACCAGATCATCAAGTTGTGCACCACAATCACAAGCTAATGGGGACAACCTGCAGACATCTTCAACTGACGATGAAAAGGTGGCAATTTCATTGGGATGTGAGACATCCGGAGATAAAAACCCACTGCCAGAAAAGCTGAACAGAGAGAGTGGCTCCCAGAGCTCTGAAAATCCTTTGTTAGATGATAATCACGAAGTAGAATCATGTTACTCCTACAAGACTGCTGCGACCTCACTCCTAGATCCCCTTGAGAGGGAGGACAGAAACAAGCCAACGTATCACTCTCTCTCTGTTTCCTGTGACAAACCACCGCAGCCTCTCACCCTCAGACACTTCCAGGGCTACATTAGCCCCCCACCAACAGAGAGCAGCACTAACATAGTGCAGCTCTTGGAGCACTGTGTAACACAGGTGGCATCATTAAAAATCAACTATGAAAACAAGCACCTGGAGGACAAATACATCGGGAATGAAATGAACAGTATCATTCATAAGATGTCTCAGTACAAAAACAAGTTATTGTTGCAAAACGAATGCAGCTGCAGCGCTCAAAATCCAGAATACACCAGTATTCCTAGCACAAATCAATATAACTATGAGACAAGTTTCCAATCCAACAGTCTGTATTTGAAGCAAAATGGGGAGCAAATTTGCTCTGAAGATCAGAAAAGTAAAGCAAAAATCCTTGATGAGGTCACCAGAAGAAAGATAAATTTTGAATATGCCCAGCTAGATAATCAAGCCCTCTCCTATTTAAAGGACTTTGGTCTCAGCCCAAGTGACACTTTCCCTGCAACATCTCTCAGCAGACCAACATTTTTACCTCTCTTTAACTCTGTCTGCTCAGACATACCTGCCACATTCTCAGGCAGCACTGCTGTCTCTGTAGCTGACTCGCTGCAGCCCAAGGAGGCCAAGCAGTGCAGCCCAGGACCCTGGGCTTACACACAGACCCCCTGCCAGGGCCTGGCTGGAGGGAGTGCTCTGTCCCCTCTCCTGGAGGCAGCGGCCCCGGATACAGCAGTGACAGCGAGGAGCATGCATGGAGAAGGTGAGTGCTCACAGCAAGTGGGACACGAAATGTGAAATAAATAACATCTGTTCCCTTTCCACAGGGAGACACAGCAGCTATCTGACACATTCAGGGTCTCTCAGCTATGCAGGGGGTCACACAAGAAAGCCAGGGAGCTTGCAACTTTCAGGAAGAGCTGAAGCCAAGGCACGCTCCACGTGCAAGGCTTGACAGGCTTCTCAAGAGAAGGATTATGGGGGTTGTGCTGCACCTCAAGCGTTTGAAAATCCTTGAACCACACTTCCATAGCATAGGGAGATCCAGAATCTGTCCTCTGGCACAGGGTAAGAAACAGCAGATGAAGCACTCAGCCACTGTGCTGGTTCAGGTTTGGCTGTCACATGAGGCTTTGGGCCAGAGCAGGTACCCTCTGTACACACTGTTCCAACTCTGCCTGCTGAGCAATCCTCTGTCCTCCAGCTGCTGAGAGGAATTCTTGTAGAACTATCAAACTTGTGTAAATGCTCTATCATGTGGCCCTGCCAAGTCTGACAGATTGGCTGGACTCTGCCCAGCCCTGGCACACTGAGGAGGCCCCTTTGGAGGTGGTGGAAGAGGAGAGGAGGCTCCAGCAAGGCCAGGATAGAGAATTAAGGAACAGTTCATTTTTGAACAGAGGGACACAGGGAACACAAGACTTCTCTGGCTCTTGTTGCTCACAGCAGTGTGTCTGCTTCTGGTCATCTCTAAAGGCTTCCAAAGCAGCACAAACTGAAAAGGACAGTGTTTCTCTCTGCATGAGGCAAGAAAAACCTTACATTTTCAAGTCTGGTGAGATTCAGCCATCAACCTGGCTATTTACATCATTGTGGAAGTGACCTTGCCCACTAACAAGTCTCCCATTGCTGAGAGCTATATTTTTTTAGGGTCGGCGTGAAGTTAAGGGCCACAGACTATCAGTCTTCCATGCCCTTTATTAACACATCATTCAGTTATAATCTGTTCTCAGTGAATTAGGTCTTCCTCTACTGAAAGAAGTGATTTTGGTTTTGTTTCCATTTTTGTTGCAAGCAATGCTGCATTTGTGGAGGTTCTGCTGACTAGCAAGTCACCTACTTGTGTCACCAGATTTTTTAGCAGAACTTGTCATTCAAGAACACACCACAATCATTAGAACTACTTACCTCTTTTAGATACTTCTGAAATTAAAAACTGAGTAACAAGCAAGGCAAGGTTTGTGCTCACAGCTACTATATGTAAGAAACCAGGGCTAGGCAGAGCTTTTTGGGGTTAGAAGGATAGATCAATGTATGCAGCACCCTGATATTTTTAGTTTGTTGTGAATATTAATCCACAGGGTACTGCTAAGAATATCCCTGCCTTCACAGGCTAGGAATGCAAAGGGATTCTAATTTTGAGGAGCTGCTTTCTGGTAGAAACAGAGAAGGGAGTCAGAGCTGTGTGACTGTCAGGAGTGGTAACAGATTGTATCTTTACACTGAACAAGACATAACAGGAGCAGACATTGCTGGGCTGCGGGCACTTTCTTTGCATTGTATCAAGTGGCAGCTGCTGTGTGACACCACGTGTCAGCACTGACAATACCTGCCAGGGCAGGGATGTGGCTCAGGTCACAGGTGCAGCATCACCTGAGGCTCAGAGAGAAGGCAATTGAAGTTTTTTCCAAAAGGGAACTGTTGGTTTTTGATAGAGGTTTATCTAACAGTAAAAGGAATGACACTTTAGAATACAGAGGGAATTTGCACAGTCATAAAGTGACTTTAAGGACTGGGCTCATTTCAAGGAATCGTTTTACTGCAGGCTTGATGTTTGTTACAATCTCTTACAGAAAAAAAAATTTAGACAACAATTAAAATGGCTTTTTACATGGTTAAAAGAACTGGCTGTGGTGACAGATATAAACACCGCCATGTGACCGAGTTTTCCTACTCAGTATCTCTTGCCTGCCCACATTCCCAGATGGCCCACAGGTTTGTCGGAAATTTTAAATCTTTGTGAAGATGACTCAGGATCTTTGCCTTGATCACGGGGGTGGCAGTGTAACAGAGGCAATATGCAAACATGGTGTCACCCCTGAATCCATGGAGACAGACATCATCGTGAAACACTCCCACGCTGGACATGACTGTGCAAACCCCAAGAGCTTATACGTAAGGAACGCTTCAAAATGTCTCACTCGGGAGCTGGGAGAGAAGTGACAGATCCAGAGGTGGCTCCTGCTTTGTTCCTCAGGAAAAAAAATGCAGCCCCTGCTCTTGCTATGGACTCGTAGATCTGACCTGAAGGAGGTGGGAAGAAGAAGGTCAACTTTCTTGCCATTTGTCATGGGGCACAGGAAAAGCTCATCTCAAAAGCCATTAAAATCTCTTTGTTTCACCAGTCCATCTCCACATGTCCCAGTGCCCACAATAACAGATGAGCCCATCCTCTCTCCTCTAGGTAGTGGGCAGGGTTCCCTTGAGCCATGCCCAGTCTCTGGGGCTTCATTACCCTGCTAGACACAGGGCTGTGATTAAGAATGGTACAAGAAATGCCAGTCACAGCTTCTTCTCCAGTTCTCCCTTCCCTGACATTTTAGAAGAAAAGCTTCAAATGCCTTATGTCTGAGCTCACCAGGAATTTGAACCCTGGCAGTAAAGGAACCCCAGGGCCAAACGGCATCCTCACATGGGAATATAGAAAGCTTATGTAGAAGGTGAGAATTACCAGTAGAAAGTGCAATGTAAGGTATAATTTTCATTTTTCAGTATCTAAAGACTAGGCATTAGTGAATGCAGTCCAACCCCTGAATACAGAGAGGATTTCTAGATCTGTACATTCATGAATCATAGAAAACAAGCTGCAGAAGTCTGTGCTTTTTGACCAGATGTTTTTCAGCAGGAAACTTCATCTTCAACAAGGAAACAGTCCTCAAGCAGTGCATTGGGATATCTCTCTTAAGTGTCTAGAACTAACCAAACAGACAACACTGTGTGTCATAGCAACTGGACACAGGTAGAACAAAACACTCTGCAAAAAACAGCATTTCAGACCACTGAGCTATTTCTCCAACTTAATGGGGTTTGAAGTGCATCTTCCATTAACTGGTAGAGTGGCGAAGCAACAAAACCCATGTGTGCCCCCAACAATATGTGCTCACTTCATTGAGGTGCTGAACTGCCACATTATGCACCAGTTGAAGACTTTGGACGTGTTTCAGTGATAGCCCTGAAAGGAGTGCATTGCAATAAGCTTGCCCTCGGGTCAGAAAAAAATACATAACTGCCAATCAAAGAGAGATTGCTATAATAGATAGGGCAGCTGTAGATAAAAGGAGACAGTACTGCATGGTGATTGCTGTTATCAAGGAACTGAGATTCAGAAGCAGATGAAATACAGCCCAGGCACTGCAAGGTGACAGAATAATGTGTATCTGATCCTCACTAACTGAAGGGCTACCTGCAGTCTAGGCAATTCCTGTAATTCTTTTTATTCCCTACTCATTCAATTTTATTACCTCCTGGGTCAACTTCATTCCCTTTCTCTTAAATAAGGTTGCATTTCTTCCAGAGAGATAATTTCTTTGTCTGTCAGGGATAGGGAAGGCAAACTGCAATATTTGGATTAGATAAAAAGGAAAAGCAGAGTGGAGCCTCATCTGCATATAGGCAATTGTCTGATAAACTACAGTATTATTTCTTGAAATGGCCAGAGAAACCTTAATAGGTGAAAAACAAAGGCAGAATCCCTGTGCACACAGGAGGGAAAGTGCATGGTAACATTCGGAGTCTGGTGTAAGAAATCCTCGTATTTCCATGCTCTCTCCATGGCACAGCAAAGGGGTCATCTCTCAAGTCTCACATGATAAATTTTGAAAAACAACAGAGTACAGAGACAGCCAGCACATTTTCTGCATTGGAAATGCCTCTGGCTCTGAAACATACACCTGCATAGAGGCAGCTGCCCAGATCATGTTGCAGTGAATTCGATATTGAAATCTCATCTGACAGTCCAGCGGCCACACACACACAGAGTCACATCCACACACCCACCGCTGGTCAGAGCAATGCACCACCAATACAAATGTACTGTTTGTCACATGTGGTACCATGCAAGCAAAGAGCAGGGAGACAGAGGTGACAGGGCACTGCCTCTGCTAATACATCTGAGTGTTAGTCACCATGTGCCCAGATACTTGGGTTAAATGCTAAATTAAACGATTTTCTCCTTCATTAAACACTGTTGCTTCTGGACTTGGCTCTGTCTCACTGTACTGTCTTCATGGTACTTTGTCATCAGTGCTCACTCTCCCCAAAATCAGAATTCTACCAGGAGGAAGAAATGTTCCTGCCAGCTTACTTTCTAGAGAAGGGGTTTTCCACACAGTTATCAGCACAGATAATCCCTCAAATGGCAGATGCACTATCATGTGTTTCATTTTAAAACTGAAGAAATTGATTTGCTGCTTTACCCGCTATTGCAGCAGGATGGTTTCCATGGATACAGCCTTATAGGGACTCTATTTTTCCCCTGTTGACAACAGCACAGAAAGCTAAATTCTCATCTTCATTGCACCAGCATAAAATTGAAGCCAGGGGAATGATTACCAGATTTAACCCTGAGAGCAGCAATTGGCTCTGTCTCCTTCAGCCTTGAATTTGAGATTTTCAGGGGAATGGCAATGAAGGAAAAAAAGAAAAGGAAAACAGTTTCTGGGTTTTTTTTCCAGCAGCATGGGCTGAGGGACAGGAAACAAACACAGTGCCTCTGTGTGAGAAATGAGGAGCAGTCAAAGCAGAATGCAAACACATTAACTGCTTATTCAGAGGCTTAGTGTGTTCCCTGACATTTAACTGCAAAAATACAAGTCAAGTTTGGGCTATATAAGTTTGACTATAGAAGGCCTTAGAATTATCTGCGTGGCATTGGGCCTTTTGTTTAAAAGAATCAGTGGTTACCACTCTGAAGAAGACCTTCTTCACTTCAGTTTTGCTGCGATGGTCAGGAAGGCACAAGGATTGGGAAGAAGGGGGAAGTGA